CGTCGTTTCCTGGCGCATCTAACGTTCTTGAGCAGCCAGGCACCGATGACGACTCGTAGGCGTATCTGCTCTTCCATCTCATCTTTGCCGCATACATCGAACAGCGTGTTCAAGGGAACCTGTTGGCGGCTACTAGATGGCTCGTACTTCTCAAGTGGTAGCAGGCCACGCCATGACCTCTCCTTGGACCCTCCGCCCACTCCGCTGTGGTAGCAGTATCGCTTGGTGAGCGTGCGTCGTCTCATGATATATTATGCTCGTAGACGTGTATGCTGATCTCCTCGGACACCCGCAGGCATGCCAAACTCGACCCCGAGATCGCCGATAGCCCGCGCGAGCTCCAGATACCCGAAGTTGTGCTACTTGAATCTCTACGCAATCGTGGCAGCACTGTCAGTGGCGACTGGAGCAGTATCCCAGACCATTGACTTTGTGCTCGATGACGAGGACGGTGACAGCGGGAATACGGGGGCTACTGTGACATACTCTCCCTCCTCACTGTGGTTCCAGGGCTCGGGATGCGACGAATGCTTCACCAATCTGGACCCGTCGCAGACGAAGAAGGGGACCTGGCACGAACTTGTCCAGCCTTTCGAGGATCTGTCTCGCCCTTACATTGAGGTCCGCTTCAGGGGATAGAGGTGCACGTGTACAACGCCATTCTCTCTGGCATTCCTACGGAACTCGAATTCACGCTCGACGGCGAACAGGTTGGCACCTACAGTAGTGGCACTGACTCGAGCGGGTCCGACCTTATTCAATACTACGCCCTGGTCCACAAATCGGTCGGCCTCGACAACGTTGATCATACCCTCATCATCCAGCCCCCACCAGGCGTAGAATCACTCGTTCTGTTCGACTTCGTGCGCTACACGTTCGTGGCTGAGATCGCCTCCATACAGCCACCCTCCCTATGGAGCTCGCCAATCTCCACCACGAGTCCCGCAAGCTCGAGTGTGACGCGCTCTATCAACAGTGTCACCCATACCACAGTAGAACCTCCAAATTCCACTACATCCTCCGTGTCGACATCGTCCACGACTATATCGTCCAGCTCGAGTCCGTCCACAGTCTCATCTTCGACAACGCTCTTTACTGTCATCTCATCTACGCTCGGTGGGACGACGATCAACACGGCCATCTCTTCCAATAACCTCACAACCACGGATCCGAATACTGCCGCCGGCACAGGCACCTCTGCTCCTGACTCCGGAGCATTTCTTTCCTCTCATATGGGAATCATCGCCGGAGGTGCTCTGGGCGGAGCAGTCCTCATCATATTCCTTGCCATTGTTATATTCCTCATCCGCCGCCGCAAACGCAAGCGAACGCCCTCCTCCGTGCGCGGTAGCCGTCCAGGAGCAGACCACGCCCACACCGCCCAGATGCGGCCCGGCTTCCCACAACTCTCGTACTCCACCGCGTTCGCGTCCTCCGACGCGACCATGGTGAAAGACCTTTGCGAAGGCGGATGTGAAGGCGAAGGCGAAGGGGGAGACGTCCTCGCAATCGGACGGGAGGACTACTCGAACTCGGACTCCCCAACCAAGTCGCCCGCGACCGGCAGCCCCGGCGCGGGCACCCCGACCCCCCGCCTCTCGCTCGCGTTCTCCGACGTCTCCTCCTTCCGCTACGCAGAGTCGGTGGACATGGGGACCGCCGCCGCGTCCTCGCGCGTGCTCTCGCGCAGCTCGTGGCGGCCCGGGGAGCGCACGTCGTTCTTCGACGCCGTCCTGAACGTCGTGAACCCCCCGAAGCCGAAGCCGCGTCCTCTGCCGCAGCCCCCTCGTGACCTCGTGCGCCAGGGATCGGACAGGCGGGGTGATAGGGCAGTTAGCGGGGAGCCCGCCGCGGCGCGGAGCAGTGAGCAGACGGAGATGCCCCGGATGGTGAGGACGAGACCGCTTCCCCAACCTTCCTAGAGGTGTGCCGTGTCACATCCAATGCGGCGGCTCAACTATCACGCGTGTTCTTGAACATATGACGTTGCTGGCATGGGTGCTTGGAACAAGAGCGCGCTCTTGGAGGAGCTCAGAGAAGTTCGCCAGATAGCTCGACTGCGCTCCGATGTGATACCATAGTTCAGGTTGTATTGCTGAAGTCTCCTAGATTCAAAGATACCTGTACGCTCTCGGGCCGTGTCTTCACTAGTACAGTCAGAGTAGTCACGCATCAGCGAGTACATTACATGCGCGACGTTCGGGAGTAGCACATTGTTCAATGTGAACTCAACATCAAAGCAGTCCTTTCAGGGTGGGGACGAAGAGCCCGTCCCAGCACTTGAATCCGACGTCCGAGGTGATCTGTGCGCACAAGCAGCCCAAGTCAGTCAAAATCCCTACCTATACCACGCAACGGGCAGTTGAACGTACCGTTGTGGGGTCGCACATGACGCGGACGGGCGAGTGCGTCTCCGTCGTCGCCACAACATGTTTAGCGACGATGTTTGTAGCTGAGGATACGAAATAGGGAGAGCACGATGACAGGTGACATTCTTCAGTACAAGGGTAGCCCGGAATGAGTACTGTGCGTGACGTACCAGTGTCCGGGTACAGGTCGAAGATGATGACTTCCTTGCCTGTTGCGTTGTTCACGGCGTACCTATGTACCCACAGGAAACCATGAGCGTTCGGACAATGCATACAGTAATCACGAGACCGTACCAACACGGGTCGCTCACACAAGAGCCTTCGACATATCCAGGTTTGCTACGGTGAGAACGAGGGTAAGGAATTCGGTGCGCTGAAACATGCCAGCCGGGCTCACTCCAAGATCGTGCCGGCAAAGTTCTCAAAGAGGAAGTCTTGTATCTGGGTATTGTTCGTGCTCGTCGTGTTCGGGCGAGGACCGACCTATGTGGGACAATCAGTTGAAGTGCCATGCACGAGGGTGGGTCTGACTTACACCCTGGTCCCAGTAGCTTGGTAGATGATGTCAGCACCCGCCTTACCATATTGCGCCTATACAAGTAGTTCAAAGATGCACTAACTTTTGAGTGACGTAGATCTAGTTGAGGTTGAGTGTGTGAGACGATGAGGTCTAACGGGCAGCTAGCACTATGTACATACCGGGAATGGAACGTTGGAGAAGGCTATGTTCTTCCACGTCACGCTGCGAGGGGTTGGTCAATTGTCGTTAACGGTGTTATACAATGCTCACTTTCGGGCCAATCCATTACCGCCAGTCCAGCTCTTGAAGCGAGCCCCGTACAAGCTGTTCTTCTGTAGCGTCTGTCAGCAACACGTGCCCGAAGGCACATTAGACTCACATACCATGACAACATTCTCGATGCTATGGATATCAAGGTGGTCAGCGATGAGAAACGAATGGAAGCGGTCATACATGTATTACTTACAGCACGTTCTGAACATCCGCCACCTGCCCACCCTTTCCAAGGGAACCGATGGAGAGACCGTGTCCGCCCTCACAATAGCTGTTCCTGTATTTCGCATGGAGTTGAGGTTGAGTTGGCATACTCGTACAACACAGCAGCAACTGCGCACCTGAAGTGGATATTCTTGGCGCCGTTCCCGACTGTCAGACAGTCGTCACCGTTCTGGACGTGGTTGTTCTCGAATAGCAAATCCGTGCCACCCGCAGAGAATCCTGTTGTCTGTGTCGGCTTCATGATTGTTGAAGATACACAGAGTAGACATACCATCCCTACAAGCGGACAGGTTCATCTGACAGTAACGACCAGGACCGAAAAGTCTTTACTCACGTGTTGAATGGGAAGGACTACGCAGATACACATCAGATGGGTCCAAGATGAAGACAGTCGAGCGATACGTACGCCGGTGTCCGAGACCGCAACAATCTTGTTGTTGAACGCGTGCAGAATCTTCGCGCCACTTGTCGAGAAGCTCCAGGCAATCGGCTACATGTTGTCTCAGCGAGGATTGCTCGAGAAGGCAGTAGCCTGAGGTATCGGACGGGAGACGTACCTTCCAGAGTTTCATATCGCGTATGACGCCGTTATTGATGTTCTTGAAGGACCACCCATGGGGGCGGTTGGTCTGCTGCATGGCATCCCACCACTACAAGCATAGTGAGCGATGACGTGGCAAGGAACTATGGAAGTACATACGGCCTGTCCGTGTGCGTCGACCCAGCCCCAGTTGGGGTCAGTCGAGCCTCGCAGTGTCACGTTATTTCCTCCATTGAACGCAAACCTACATTTACATGAGTGATTCCGCCCTACAGAGAATTGGAAGTACTCACCAAGATCCGGGGAAACCCTACAGCGTTCGGCAGTAAGTGTCGCGGCCTTCATTCTGTATCTAGCACTTACCGATGACCCGACGACATCTATATAGGCAATACACTGGTGAGACATAAGCAATGGAGTATATCGAGACACTTACTTTGTACAGTGGTGATATGTGCTGGGTAGCTGAGGTTGCCCTCGATCCGCACTTCCACGTTGTTGAAGAGCGGGAAGTTGATAGCTGTGAAGACGTTGTAATGAACGCCCTTCTGAAAGAGTATTGTCGCGTTGTTGGAGTAGTTTCCAGTAGCGAGAGCGGCGCTGAGGGCAGGGACGTCGTCTTGGCCGTCGATATGAGGTACAACAAACGTCGACCACGCGATGACCGGTGACACCGAGACCAGGAGGAAGCCAAGGACACGAGCAGCCATGTCGACGAGAGAGCCGAGGCAGCTTGCAAATTTCAGAGACAATCTTATAGCTGTTGAGGACGCGGACACCCAGGGACGCGTCCTCAACAGCTATAAGAATGTCTCTGTGAGCTAGCGCGCCACCCGAGCTCACGACCAAATTACAGTGGTGTCAGGTGAGCGCGAAGCATCTATATTGTTGTCCATGAGGAGCATGTGAGTGGGTGAGGCAAGGCACGGATTGCAAGGGCCAGAGGCAGTGGCCAAATGACCTGGTCATCCTCAAGCGTTGAGTACTTGCGAGGTTACAGCGCCGGCCCTGCCCCGGCCCGCCTCGCTGGCTAAAAGAAAACCTCAAACAACACCGGGAGGTATATTGTCAAGGGCGTTTGGCACAGTGGTAGCGCGTACGCTTTGCATCGTCGGTTCTTAACCAGCAACGTGATTGCGTAAGGTCGTGGGTTCAAGCCCCACAACGTCCACTTTATTACCTTTTTTGGTAACTCGTCAGGGTTGGATCCAGCCAGCCCTAGGAAGCAAGCTTCGGAGGGTGGACCCGCCCCAACCTCGCAAGCTCATAGGTAAGACTCGGTGATACGCAAAGCTGTAGTGCGTTGATCATGCGCTCGAACACACTGAGCCCTGTGCCAAGCCGCCGCCATTACGCTTCTCAGCATGTTGACAAAGACTGCCGAATGGCCGACTCGGAGCGACGAAATACATAGATTCAGAGATATGTCAGCATGTCTGAAGACTGAAGACCAAGGAATCTGACGTAACGGGGCCTCTGCAGAGCTTAAGAACGCGGCGCCGTATCCATTTCGAGTCCCCCACACCTTGAAGGAATGACTCGCACGGACAAGATCGTACTATACGGAGCCCCAGTGAGTCTTGTCCAAAGTCCCAGAGACGTCTGCTGATGCTTCCTGCAGACATCGCCCTATTTCTGGAGAGTATGTCAGCTCTTTGCGCACCGGCTGCTCACCCACTCACAATCAATTCACATAGGTTCTCCTCGCTCTCGATGAGGCGCATGCAGAGTACGAGAAGGTCGTGTTCAGCCTGGCCGAGAAGCCGCTGTGGTACACGGAGAATATCAATCCCTGGACGGGCAAAGTGAGTCATCAGTTTTCAAAGGTTCGGCTGGCGCCACCGACACTGACCATCCTGGATATCTGATGGACACCACGACTACACAGGTCCCTGCACTGGTGTACGGAGGGCGGGGAGACGCGCCCGTCGAGAAGCCATCGTCGGACGCCGTCAGAATCATAGAGTCTCCGGTTATCCTCGAGTTCATTGCCGACCTATACCCGGATGCGAACCTCCTGCCGAAGGACCCGGCCAAACGCGCTGCGGCGCGTCAATTCGTCAGCATCCTCGACCAGGGAGTCGTATCGGACACTACGTCATGGATCACGAACCAGGATGATGGCACCAAGCACCTGCAGCTACTGGAGACGCTCCAGGGCTTGCTGCCCGCGGAGGGTTTCATCCTGGGAAAGTGGTCGATTGCGGACGCAGCCTTCATCTCCATCTTCGCCTTTAGTCATGTCTTCGTCAAGAGCGGGGTCGGATATGGTACAGTCATCGACACTCACAAGGTGGAGGTCGAGCTCGCATCGCCGCGCTTTGCGAGGTTGCAGCAGTACTTGGAAGATTGGAAGGCGCGCTCGAGCTACCAAACAATTTGGGACGAGGTGAGTAAAACTCTCTTGCGCATCGGATAAACTCTAATAGACTAGCAGAATGAGCTCATCAGAACATGGCGCAAGCGTTGGGGATTCAGTGAGACCGCCTGATCCATCAATACGCACCTGAAGTTCAGACGAATGTCAATTCTGCGAGTTGTGCTTAGTAGTGTCGAGCATGAGAAGGCATAATGGTTCACAAAAGAAGAATAAATGACTCGCATGAATCGGAGCTACTGCGATGAAAGCAGGAATAGCACCTATGAATGAGTGGAGGACTCAGTGTGTCCGATGGGATTCGTTGACCTTGCGGTCACTGGCAACATGGTATACATAGATCCCTAAACAGCGACACTCAATCACAACAGGTACATAAGATCATACAATCGGACTGAACTCACCTATCGGACGTTTCAAAGGTACCTGAGAAAGTGTACGAATAATCAGACGACGCGCCAGTCGAGAAGGCACCGTCGCCAACCAGAGACTGCCTCAGACAGTGTGTATCTGGTAACAAAACAGCAGATTTCCAGACGCTCGAAGCTGTGCAGACGATGCTACAACCCGCGGAGGACTTTGTCATGCAGATGCCGCATATTTCCCCTCCTGGTTGCAGTGTTGTTCATGGTCAAGTACTGTATGGAGATATGGCAACACGGCCAACACGAGCGGGGAATGAAAACAGCAGGAATACGGCGCACACCAGCGGACAGAAAGGAAGGCGTACCTCAGAGATACTTTAATCTCCCTTCAAAGCACTCCGCAACGCTGTGCATAAGCTCCGCATCACGACGACTCGCTGGAGTCATGGCCAGAATCATCGTCGAGATGATTCGGCTTGTTTCGACGAAGATATATTATGATCTAGTGACCACTCACGAGTATCCTCTAGGCCAGTGATGAGTTGAGAAACTGCCATGCTCGTCGGGTGTCCTCTGAGTCATGAAAGCTTATCGTACTCACTGCTCGTTCCCAACATCATAAGAATACAGCCGTCGAGCTTGCCGCATAGCCCTCTTTTCCCTTCGAGCAGGCGCGCCATGGCTACAGTTCTGTTGAAGCGGGAAGAGAGATGGGCATGGTACGCGGAGAGCATGAAGTCCTAGCAAGTCAAAGTGAGCCGGCACCAGTTACACCCAGACTTGAATCCCATCTGCATTGAACTCACCTACTGGACACTCTACATACCTCAACGAGTATACGAATGACCATAAGATGCGCCGGTCGAGAAGCGATTCCAGGTGACATAGCTAATTAGAACAGAGGCGACGCACCGTCAAGATTCGCGAATGTGTTTCGACACGTGAAACTCTTGGACCATAGCCCCTCTCAGATATCACCACGTTATGACGATGATGCATCGAGTGCCAGACCATCGCAGCCGGGACGTTGCTCCGACTCCTCGTGAGATAGAGAAGAGAGAATGTGAAGACCGAGTTGATACCTTGAGGACTGGATAGAGCGTCCACGCTCAAAGCAAGCTTGGGGCGCCGAGGCACGCATACGGTGATCCCTCAACATCCCAAAATTCATGCTCCATAACTGAGATGAGAATGTAGTCAGATCATAGTTTATGCGGTGGGTATTGTGTGGATTCACCAGAAAAGAGGCTCATCATAACATCGTCAGTGACGATGCATCGATGGACAGACCCCGTTATGGACCGTTCGTGATCAGTTTGAGCGAACACATGAGGACGATGTTGGCCTGAAGTCCGCTGCACCGTCACGGTGAGGTAGCCCAGAGCATGACACCTTACACGCAACCGACGTCAGTCTTGGTAGTATGGGAATACTTTCGATCATCGAACCTTGGTGATGAACCATAACCCGCTGGAATCCGGGCCAATGCCCTACGCTTCGAGAAATGTGAAGACTCGGCGGAGTCTACTCCAACCTCTGCACTACAGACACCGTTCCCGAAACTCACCTGTGAGAGAGAAACATCCCGGTGTAGTAGATGATCAAGCTGCCATGAATGCCACCAACGCGCCATCTAACCGAAGTGATGCATGAGTTCTCGAAGGCTGCGAATCATAGAAGGGAATATGTCAATAGCACTGGTGTGTTGGATTGTACGACTCTCCTTGTGCAGGAGGGGAGAATCCACCCACGCACTAGTGGCGCATCCAATGTATACAAAACCACCTCTCGTTCTCTTGAAGTTCTTTCCCGATACGAAGTAGACTGTCCAGAAGATTGGAGTCATGGAGTGGCAATTCAGACAACGAGGATCCGATATGGTTGTGCCTGTCTTACATAGACTTCCCGCTCCTGAGAGACATCTCGATCGTGCAGTGCAAGGTCTCCACGGAGGCCTTGGAAGCGGAGTGTCTGCGGTGTATCTAATCATCGTTAGCCACTCAGAGCGCATAACCCACAGTCTCCACTCGCCTCACCCGCAAGGTTTGTGTAGTTCACACCACGATGCATGTCTCACTCGTATGCATCGAAGAGCGTCGCCGCAGCGCGGCCTGCCATCTTCTCGTGCCATCTGCCGGAAGTTCGAACCCTCGAGCTTCACGCGCGAAGCATCTGTTCCCGACACCGCCGTTAGCCAAACGTGGACGAACCCCCTCATCGATGAAGAGAAACTCACGGCCGCCACAGCCATCAGCATCGCTTTCACATCGAGTACCTCAACGTCCCATATGGCGTGGAAGCATCCGCGAGAATTGAGGCACCTGTCAACGTTCAACACTCGTCAGAGAATGGACGTGCTATCAAAGCTATCAACCGCGCTGAAGATAGCAGCGACTATGTATGAGACAGCATCACACTTACATACACTTTGTCTACTATCCGTCTTAGCGCATCCCGTCCTGGCCCCCCTGACGACTCGAGATAACTCTCCCAACGCGTCAGGACTCAGAACAGTGTCAATTGAGCGATGATATGGAAACGGACGCGTTGTAGCCGTGCATCTTGATGACTTGACATGTATCAACAAGCTCGCGCGCACGCACCGCTGCAGACAACGCGACCCGACGCAAAGGAGCCTAGGGACAAAAGCCGCAGCGATAGAAGCAGGCACTCACCACGACCATTCCGCCGAAGCCCGCGACCAAACTCCAAACGCACGGCTCCCATCCACCGTTGCTTATCTCGCACTCGGGCGCATTAACAGATCGCGGAGCGGAACCCGAAGGCTGCACAATTTTCTGCGCTTTCGCGCCAACTTCACCGCTCGCGTTTTCCCGTGGGGCGAATCTTGATCCTACAGCAGGGGATGGCCGATGGAGATGTGCGGGGCTGCCACGGATCCCGCGACGACGTCCGGGTCGGGCGCAGATCAGAATCGCTCGGGTGAACAGCTTGGGAGGCGCGAGCGCGGACCGTTGCCTTTTCAGGCGATCGGCGCTCCTCCCGATAACATAGAACGTGGTTCCCGCGTCCGCAACCCCGAATGCTGCCAGCAGCCGCCAGGACGATGTTCGAGGAAGTATATCAGCTATACGACGTGCTCGCTGTGCTGGACGTCGTCCCGCCGCTCCGATCTGGGGTGCTGGTGGACGGTCGCGTATCAGCGCCTCGGTTCCTCGAGATTTCTTGTCCTCGACGTTGGCAGCAGTGAGTCGACGGCACCCTCGGCCGGCCGCGCCTCAGTCCCGACGAGAGTCGCTCGCAGGAACGTAAGCCTTGCGCGATAGCAAAAATTGCGTGGGCGACTACAGAACCAGCTTGATTCGGGAGCTTGCGAACCCACCGGTAGGAAGGTTCGTCCGCTTAGCTCGTTATCTTGCAGTTCAGTACGCACGTTGGCCGAGCTCTCGTCGAGTCGTGAGCTTACAC